GAGTGGACTGACGGTCTCAATGTACTCCCCCTTCACCGGCCTCCGCGACATGGTGGCGGTTCTGTTGGTAGACACAGGCCTGGCTGGGGTGACGATGTGGTGCTTCGGAGGTTGTGGGTTGAAGACGCTGAGAGCATGATGCTTCAATTGCTGGGGAGGAGCTCTCGGATCGTGTCCGCGTCGGGTCGCGAGGGAAAGGCGGGGCACCAGGCACGAAGTCACGTGTCCCACTCTTTGGATTGCGAACCTGCCAGGACGCCTTCTCACCAGGAGTAAAATTGCACGCAGATAAAGAAAATTCAAGTACATCCGGAAATAACAACATGATCGCTCCCAGTAGCAGTAATCCCGGTGTCAACCCCAGAAACTATGTGACTGCAGCCGGCGCCGACCCGAAGGCTGGCCCGAACTCGGCGGCGGGGAGACTTGGCGGGAGACCCCGCTATGTACCACCCACCCCTTTCACCTGTAGCGGGTGGGCGCGGGGGTGATGCATCACTCGACTCTCTGCACATCATCCCTCGTCGGGACCAATGCCGACGCGATTGCGTAACAGGCCGATAACATCTCGTCGGCTCTGCGTCCTCTATCATGAGCAACATCGTCGGACGAAGGGCGATCCCCTCCCATCTACTCTTCTTCAAATAGAACAGGTGCCTCGTCACATCACGACCCGCCTCGCCTTCTTGCTACCACCTACCTCGAACACCAAACCATCCCACCCACTCGTCTGCTCACTACTCGTCGTCGTCGTCAAGAACGCACCCCGCACCGCCGTCTGCCCATCATGCCGTTGAGCCCCGCGCACATGCTCACGCCCCAGGCGGCCGAGTTCACGCGCTTCCCCAGCAGGAGGAGCGTCGTCCACAGCACCAAGGGCATTGTCAGCTGCACCCAGCCTCTGGCGGCCAAGTGCGGCCTCGAGGTCCTGCACGCCGGTGGCAATGCTGCTGATGCTGCTGTCGCCGTTGCCGCCGGCCTCAACATGACAGAGCCGTGTTCCACCGGCATCGGCGGGGACATGTTCATCCTCTACTACGATGCCAAGACGGGCAAGGTCTCGGCCATGAACGGCTCCGGCCGCTCGGGCAACAAGTGCACGCTCGAGACGGTCAGGAGAGATCTCGGCCTCGCCGACGGCGCCTCGGGCAAGATCCCCTCCAAGAGCGTCCATGCCGTGACCGTGCCCGGCGCCGCTGCTGGCTGGGTGGACACGGTTGAGCGCTTCGGCAGTGGCAACCTGGCTCTCGACAAGATTCTGGCGCCCGCCATTGAGCTCGGCGAGAAGGGTTTCCCCGTATCTGATATTACCGGCTACTATGTGAGTTAAGGACCGCAGCACGATCGAGTAACGCCCCCCACCCTAAACAATGCACAGTGGACCTCAGCAGAATCTATCCTGCGCGAGGCGTCTCCCAACTATGGCGAGATGCTCAAGAAGGATCCCTCAGCCAAGGACGGCGTGCGAGCCCCTCGACCCGGCGAGATCATGAAGAACCCCGACCTCGCCAGGACGTTCCGTGCCCTGGCGGCCGAGGGAAAGAAAGGCTTCTACCAGGGCCGCATCGCCGAGGAGTACGTCAAGGTGTGCAGGGACCTTGGCGGCCACATCGACCTCGATGATCTCGCCCATCACCTCGAGACCGGCAGCGAGCCCGTCGAGCCCATCTCGTTGAAGCTCCAGCACGGTGGCTTCCACGATGACGGCGTCGAGGTCTGGGAACACCCCCCCAACGGCCAGGGCATCGTCGCGCTCATGGCTCTTGGCATTCTCCAGGAGCTCCAGAACCAGGGCACGATTCCCAAGTGGAAGCCCGAGGACCACAACACGGCGCCCTACCTGCACGCCATCATCGAGGCCCTGCGTCTCGGTTTCACCGATGCGCAGTGGTACGTCACGGATCCCAACGTCGAAAAGGTGCCGGCGGCGGGCCTCACTGCTCCCGAGTACCTCGCCGAACGCGCCAAGCTCTTCGACGCCACCAAGGCGGCGGCGTCGGTCGAGCGCGGCACCCCGCCGACGATCCCGTCGCCGGCGCTGCACAGCAGCGACACGGTCTACTTTGCCGTGTCCGACGCCGACGGCAACGCGGCGTCTTTCATCAACAGCAACTACGACGGCTTCGGTACGGGCATCATCCCGCGCGGCTGCGGCTTCACGCTGCAGAACCGCGGCTCCAACTTTAGCCTTGACGCCGGCCACCCCAACCGGCTGGCGCCCCGCAAGCGGCCCTACCACACCATCATCCCCGGCATGGTGACCAACCTCGCCGACGGGTCCCTGCACAGCGCCTTTGGCGTCATGGGCGGCTTCATGCAGCCGCAGGGCCACGTCCAGGTGCTGCTCGGCCAGCTCGTCGGCGGCCTCAACCCGCAGCAGACGCTCGACGCGCCGCGCGTGTGCATCGACTTTGACTGGAACGTCAACGTCGAGGAGGGCATGCCCGCCGAGACGATCGAGGGCCTCAAGAAGCTCGGTCACAAGGTCAAGGTGCTCACCGGCAACGAGAGGGGGCTGTTTGGCCGCGGCCAGATCATCCGCCACACGGTCGATCCGCTGGAGGACACGGGCATCTGGTCAGCTGGCAGCGATATGCGCGGCGACGGTGCATCATACCCGGCATGGTAAGGAAAAAAAACAGGCGTCGATTCTCCACAAGGAGACGGTGCGATGAGAAAAGAGGGAGCAGATAGCCACATGTACTGCAATAAATGCGACGAGCAATGCCTTGTTTCATTTCACCAGCTGTCATCATGTCGTGACGTGCCGGACATGCGTGCCCTCCCCTATCGTACACAAATTACAAGCCTTTTACAGCTACCAACCCCCCTTCATATCTGATATCGAGAGTCGATTTTCGCTCCTCATTCGTCCTTGCCCTCGCCCTCGCCCTCGGCGAGAACCTTCTTCTCCTCGAGCAGCTTGGCGAGGTCGCCGTTCTGGTGCATCGACACGACAATGTCGCAGCCGCCCACAAACTCCTTGTCGACGTACAGCTGGGGGATCGTCGGCCAGTCGGAGTACTCCTTGATGCCTGCAATCACCAGGGTCAGCGGGAAAAGCCGTTGCAACTCGTCATCTTGCGAAAGAAATACGCACCCGACCGCAGCTCGGCGTCCTCGAGCACGTTAAAGGCGGCAAACTTGGCCGGGTCGACGCCCTGCAGGCCGAGGACCTGGATGCTCGCGCGCGAGAAGCCGCACTGGGGCGTCTCGGGGGTGCCCTTCATGAAGAGCACGACGGGCGCCGAGGCGACGGCCTTTGTCGATGGCCTGACGCGTCTGGTCGGAAAGCAGGCGGCGCTGGCGGCTGTGAGGAGGAAGGAGTTCGGGCGCGAAGGCGGAGGCGGCTGGCGGCGCGCGCAAGGCGCTTCTGTGGATGGGGGAGGTTTTGTCAGTCATGTTCTTCGACGACGGAAGCCGCTGTCGCCGACGGGCCCGCTGGGGCGCTGGGGCGCTGGGGAGACGTTACAGAGGCGAGGAGGGATCTTGACCACATGTTTGGGAAGGTGTGCGGATGTGTGGCGACGGTACAGGCTGGAGAGACAAGAAAGAGACTTGTAGATGATGGGCGCCGTTGGGATGAGATGAGGAATCGCCCGAGGCAGTGGTGCAAAAAATACGGGTGATGTAATCGGCTGTCGGTGGTACGTTGGTCGGTGTGGTTCGGTGACGGCAGCTTTGGCCAATCGGCTTTGTTGCGTTGGACGACAGCTTACTTCATCATTGTCTCTAGCCTTCGAGGACGAGACGCTTAATACTGCCGTTGCGTTTTGACTACCTACTTCTTGACCATGAGGAGAAAGCTCTACCTTTCCATGAACCCATGAATCTGAAAACGCCGCAGGGCCATCCATCTGAATCCCGCCATTGGCAAGTCGAACAGACCTCTCAAGCAAGTGCTGAAGCTGACTGACCCCACCACGACCCCTCACCACCACATCTCACAACATCACCAGATCGCATCCCCCTTTTCTTTCCGTAGCCTGACACACACACACACACACAATATCATGAATCCGGCCGATGCCGTGGCGGGCGCCCTCCAAGATGGCAAAGCCCATCTGCTTCTCGCCTGCACAGGCAGCGTCGCCACCATCAAGCTGCCCTCGATGCTAGCCCACCTCGCCCGCCACCCGTCCCTCTCTGTCCGCATCATCCTGACGCCCTCGGCGGCGCAGTTCCTCACGGGCACGTCGGCCGAGCAGCCGACCGTCGAGTCCCTGCGCCGCCTCCCGGGCGTCGACGGCGTCTACCTCGATGCCGACGAGTGGGGTCCCCACCCCTGGAAGCGCGGCGCCTCGATCCTCCACATCGAGCTCCGCCGCTGGGCCGACCTGCTCGTCATCGCGCCCCTATCGGCCAACTCGCTCGCTAAGATCGCCGCTGGAAATGTCCGACAACCTCATCACGTCCGTCGTGCGCGCCTGGGACACGTCCGTCCGCCCCGACGCACGCGCCGCCGCATCGTCGCCGCGCCGAGCATGAACACCATGATGTACACCCATCCGCTGACGGCGCGGCACCTCAAGGTCTCGAGGAGGGACTGGGGGCGGCCGCGACGAATGGTTCCGACGTGCTGCGGCCTGTGTCCAAGGTGCTGGCGTGGGTGATGTGGGCATCGGGCCATGAGGGCCGGGGAGGAGATTGTTGCGCTCGTGGAGAGAGTCTCCGGTTGTCGGTGGCTGAGGGGGCATCGAAAGATATAAGGAATGGGGCATGACGTTACGCGGTGGGTTTGATTTTGGGAAGACTGGTGCGACAATGTCAAGAATAATCATTTAGCCGCCTTTTGTCACGACCATGGAGGACAATTTCTAGTGGAAATGCTCAGCGTGATTGCATGTTGGCCTGCTGTTTGATGACAACTAAAGGGAGGGGCTCCTTCCTCATGATCACCACCAATGTACTGCTTCATGACTGCGATGTGAATGTGAATCGCTCAGACCTAACTCCTGGTATGACATGATCCAGTATGACATTCCAAACAGGAAGAACCTTGCGTCTGATTTGGACGCTCTATCGTGAATCCGGACCATGCCAACCAGGATGAGACGTAGTAGATTGTGAGATGTTGTTTTCTTTTTGAACTTCATTCGAAGAAGAAGAGGAAGAACGACGGAAAGCGGTCCAGCTTTCAATCATATACAGAGGTAGAAGAAACAAGACTGAGGATATGCCATCATTATGACCGCCAGGAAGCCTTGCATATTCTATCAAACACCGACATAACGGCCACTCGAGGTAATGTCTGTAAAATCATTTAACATCATCCTACCATCCTGTCCAAATGGACTCATGTGTGCAGCGCTATGCCAGCATCAAAGCAACAACTGCCATGGCGCATCGAACCATTTCTCGACGGAAAAAACACCAAATGCCGATCGCAATGGGCAGGTGGAGCTCTCACCTCAATGAAAGCTGATAGTGTGACCGACAGTTCAACAATGGGAAGAGGCCTCCAAGGTACTTGATCTAGAAAAGGCGTAGGACTACCGAATCATACCCTTCTACGACGGCAGATTCGACAGGGCGAGCGACGGAGGGCCAGGCGGGGAAGGTAGGCGCATGCGTAGCTGGGATCTTCAGACCCATGACATCGCCATAGGCTCTTCAGACGAGACAGTTATCTGGAGTGCATCGTGAGTCTAACGCAATCAACGTTGGCACAAAGTTTGGCCAATCGTGGCTCGGCAGATTCATGACACCTTCGATCTTGAGTAGCCAGATGCCCTCGTGGACGTGCATGTAAGTTGAGAGGAGTGCATTTGATGTGAGAAACCTTGAAAAGCAAAATGTAATGGACGCGTGGAAGGGATGGGTGTACATGCACATCGGACTTGACAGATTTTTACCGATTCGTCATGGCAGGACAACTGCTGAGCGATCCAGGCCCTTCGTATTGGACAGCAGCGGTGAGGGAGGAATCTGGTTGCCTGGACTGAACGTGTTCGTTGCCGTCATGACAAAGCCTGGCTCGCTCCCTACTTTGGTCTTTGCGGAGCGATACCCGGTATGGCTCGGGTTGGACTGCGATGCGGACGCGACTACGAGCTGCCAAGCATGGTGATTCGTCATGGTACCTGGGTAGGCGGGTTCGCCTCCGTTGCAAAGACGAATTTTCTGAGATGGATCGTAACAAAGATGGACGGTAACGAATGTAGTCGGACCAGGTCAGCCAGCGATTGGGTCTCGACGTTGAGTGTGCCCTGGCTGCAGAGAAGACGAGCGAGAGGGTGGGTTGTGGCTCAGCGGCCGCGTGGTGTGGAGAGAATCACATGGCGGATGCTATTTCGAGAGCACCAGCCACTCTTCCCTTCTTTGCCTTCCATTCGTTCGCTGGAGATACAGTCAGTGGTAGTAAGGTTAAGGTAACCGCACAAAGGCACGACGACCGACAGGACAAGCGTTGACTCGTCAGTCGCGTGCCACTGCATTGGCGGTTCCTGAGCCGCCCTTGGAGGTGGGTGTGAGCCGCCCTTTGGGTGGTGGCGGGCGGATGGGTCGTTTCCCGGCCATCGCGGCGCATGCTGTGCCACCACTCCACTGTTCTGATAGCGCGTCCATCCACTGAAAGTTTCCGTGACTCGCATCGCTCTGGGTGACGGCGGACCAATGAGCCACGGGTGTCACGGCACTTTGAGCCCTGTTCGTTTGCTCGGCCTCGCGGCGTTGGAGATCGCCCTCGCCTGTCCCCCCCCCCACCTCAAAAGCCAGCGGGCATCGTGTCATTTGAGGGTTTTGGGTTTCGCGTCTGGTACATAGCAACGGGCTGCAGATTAGTGCATGTCCATCCGCCTAGCTACCTTGCATGGACAGGCACAAGTAATGTACCGTAAGTAGGGAGGTGGATGGATCGCCGTGCTGCCAGTACTGCAGCCCATTCTGTTCATCTCAATGTTCGTCGCAGAGGCAGACAGGCTGGTCAACAAGGCCAATCGATTGCGTGAGAGCAGCCGTGGGCACCGCACATGGAATTGGAGACGAAGGATGCGATGCCGACTCGCCAAGATCCCTCGGAACTCCATACTGTCAAGTGGCCATGCCGACGTCACCTGGGGTCTAAGAGGG